GTCTCCTCGTCCTGCAGGAAGGGAAACTGCAGCTCGGGCTTGTCCTTGGCCCCTAAGGATGACATCTTGCGGAAGAAGATCTTGGGCAGGAATGTGTGGCTCTTTCGAGAGAAGCCTCTATTCTGTGTGAGGAGGGAAGAGCAGAGGTCAGCCAGGTCCCTCGTAGCTCCTTGCTCCCTGGTCTCTGGCCTCTTCCGAACTGGGAGCCCCGCCCTGCCTGGAGCGCTCAGCTGGATGTACAGGTACCCTGGGTACTGTGGGTGCCTTTCTCTTCTCTCCTGGACCGACTGCTTCTGGTTGTGGAGGATGAAGGGCAGGCTTGTCTGAGCTTTCCCAAACTCGTACTTTCCTCTATCAGAGCAACCCACTGCTGTCGCCTCTAAAGAAAAATGTGCGCCCTGGTTGGTTTGGCTCAGTGGATAGAGCGCCGGCCTGCAGACTGGGAGGTCCCGAGTTCAATTCCAGTCAAGGGCACATGCCTGGGTTGCGGGCTCGGTCTCTATTGGGAGTGTGCAGGAAGCAGCCGATCAGTGATTCTCTCTCATCATTGATGTTTCTCTCTCCCACTCTCCCTTCCTCTCTGAAATCAAAAATATATTTTAAAAAAAATGTGCTGGGAGTGCCTGCAGAGAGGGCCTGAGGCTGAGCTGCCAGGACCCCTAACTTTGATATTCTCCGCACCTGCCTCTTGGGAGGTAGGAGTCTGATGTCTGGGCACAGCCACAGCTGCCCTGGCTCTGAGTGTGCTGAGGAGAGTGGGTGGAGAAGGGTTACCCAAAGACTGCCTCCCTTCCCCCAACAATGGCAGCAACAGATAATACTCTCTTGTCTGGGATGGGGGGACAATGGTCCCACAGAAGGGCGGGTGGGGGGCAGGGCAGGAGAGCGCTGGACAAAGGGCCTCATTCACCACGCGTGCCACCGCCTCCCCTGCGCTCGGCCCCCTCACAGCCCTGGTCTCTGTGCCTGCACCGGGGCTGGGCAGCTCGGGCACCTGCGTTCGGGCCCAGCTCCACCCCCGCTTTGCTGTGTGTCACGGCACCTCTCCGACTTCCCACACACTGCTTCTCCTGCCTGGAGCCCTAGACTCCCCCCGCCCGCAGCCCCGTCCACTCTCCTCGCCTCTCCCCTACCTCAGAGTTGCACCGGATCGCCCTGAAAGCCTCAACTCAAGTCGGGAACCTCAGGGCCTTGTTTGCATATGGTACTTCCTCCCGAAAGTCCCCCGCGGCTCCCGTTTTCCGTTAAGGCGCGACCCCGTGCCCGCCTCCCGCCTCCCGGCTTCCCCGCGCCTGCTCACCATGATGGGAAGGGGACGC